TCTTTCCCTCCCTCTGAAAAAAAATGAGAAGAGGAAAAAAAACCCTCATCCCATGCATTATTACAATTCTGTAAACACACGACAGGTATCTTTATTTAACCCCCTCTCCCGCACTCCAGGCAGGTTATTGTTCGTCCTTCGGTCTTAAACTGGCCCTTACCCAATCAGACTATAGTGGGGGTGTTAAAACATTCAAGTATATTTTGTCTTGTTGCATTGTTACATCTATTTCCCTTACCGTTTCTTTTGCAGAAGTAGGTAAGCACTTTCCATCAAAACTTTTGTGTCCTTACTAACCGTTATGATTTTGTTGGTGGCTGGTTCTTCTGTAGAGCAAGAAATGAAGACACCATGGGGGAAAAACTGGTGATGTCATACAATGATATTCCTACAAACTGAAAATTTTGATTCAGGGTCTTCCTGTTTCTTTTAAGTGTTCATTTCTTTTGACGATTTTATGCCCAGCTGTTCAAATATTCATTTAGTCCTTATTTGGATACTTCCATCTTCGAATGTCATCACTGTGCTGTTCAGTGGCCATTTGAAGGAAACGGCTTTGATTTTGGGCATCACCAGTTTTTCCCCCGTAGAGCAAGAAATTAATGTGCACCTTATGTTTGCTATGCTGTTACATTCAAACAAGTACTTGTGAGTGCAGTGAAGGGAAATAACACTTTAACAGAATTTGGCATATAATAGTATTACTAATACTCTCTATGATCTCTCTACAATAATAATATGACACTAATCTGTTGGGGTTTTTTGTTTTAACACCCCGCTGTGGTGGCACGTATAACTTTCTTGACATAATAATAATATAGAAACGGTTGCGAACTAACGCTTCTGTAACGGCTTGGATAAAAACTTGCACCAACGTATTACTGCAACAATCAATTTCAATTTCTAAATGCTTGAGGAGGAGGAGGAGGAGGAGGAGGAGGAGGAGGAGAGAGAGAGAGAGATTAGTCTGCTAGGCCAGTTGCTGGTAACCCATGTACTCATAGTGAGGCTTCTTTGTCCCTAAGACACCCAATGCTTATATGGCTTTTGCTCTGTTTTTTTGTGTAGCAGTTTGTTTTTGTTTTTTGTATTTTTAATGTGCTTTTCTGCTGTTTTTCCCCATAAATTGTATGTTTTGCTCCCCGACCATTACGCTTACAGTAGCAGCAGCACTGTTTTTGTCGATTTGGTAACGGGATTCTTTCTTTTTCTAACACTGATGATGAAATAGTGAAATAGGAATTTACATGAACATAGCGCGTTTCCTCTAGGACAGTGCTCAATGCGCTCTACTGGTACAGGAATACACAGAATGTAGAATCAACAGTGATCATTTCACTCCTTCCCCCTCCACCCCATGCCCTCCCCCACCCCCACCCCTCTACGCTTGACCGTTTCATTAACTATCGATTAACCAATACAGTTCAGTAATTAGGTAAATATCTATAATGATGATTAATCGTTACATTTGATATTTGATATCAGTTCAATAGAAGTCTAAATGCATTTGGCTTGCAGTGTTTTTAATAACATCGTAGAGTTAAGTGCGAACCTGGTATATTCAGATGATTGTACGTTCATTTTTATTCGAAATTGATCGGATATTTTCTGTTTGTTTGGTTGGTTTATTTCTCTTCTTTTTTCCTATGTTTTCTTTTTTTTTAATGTTTCGTAATTTTACTAGATCAATAGATGTCCTCTCCTCCTCCACAGTTGTTACCCTTTCCACAAGTTTCTGTACCCCCTTTTATAGACTTGTCTTATACATGTAATATCCCAGACCTTATGTAGCCAAGCCATATTAATACGAAAGCTTATTATTATATGGTTACATTTGTGTAGTTGTTGTTGTGTTGTGTACTTACACGGCCATAGCATGACTTGTTCCTATCAGTTCCCACACTTAAAAAAAAAAATTAGGTGTTTTTAACACCCCTTGAGGACACAATTTAGATCATTGTGGAGACAGGCACAAATCCGGTGTGAGGGGAATAAAAACATCCCTGCAGAAAGACCGAGATTCTGGATGAAAATCCTCCCCACGTTGGTTAAATCGAACTCGGGTCTTCTGCGGGTAACAGCGAAACCCCAAACAGCTACACACGCTGACGCCAGTGTCTACATATTGCAATAAATGATCATAATATGAAGAATCTACTTCAGTGGAAGTATAATATATTCAAGGTTATGTCTTCCTACTCAAAATATAACTGTTAATACATGTATATTGTACTTCTTACGGGCATCCATGTTTCTATAGCTTATTAGTATTGAAGTTTTGCGGGGTTTTTTACCGAAAGTTGTTTTGAAGAGGTTTGTAGTTTTGCCTTCCTGTGTTTTGCTTTTATTAATGAACACTTCATTTACACACAAACGCACACACACACACACACACACACACACACACACACA